CAGTCTTGACCCACTCCAATCTGCGGTGAGGCTGAGCAGGTCCCCGGTGGTTAACCCTGCCTGGGTCCTGTCTATTGATTTCTGATTTACCCCCAAAGGTGGGAGGACAAGCCTGGAGGGCCCTCGCTGCTCAACTGGAACCAGGGGCCTCCCCCGTGTCTTGCCCCTCCACCCAGCTGCCACCAGCTGGCCCTGCTCGATCCTGCTGACCTCGTGCAGGGAGTGGGCGTCCCTGCCCTTCAGGCCTAAAGCTGAGCTCCCTGCAAGGCCTGGGCTCAGCCACACTCCCCAGCAGGGACACCAGGCATGGGTGAGTCTTGGAGGGCTGGGCCCTATCTGGAGGGATGCAGTGGACGCTGGCTCATTGCAGAAATCCTGGGAACAGGGGATGAGATGCCTGCACAAATCCTCATGCACTGGTTGTCCCCCTTCCTGCCAGGCCACTGTGCCAGGTGGGCACACAAAGAGCTGAGAGGGCAATGTGGGTGGGTGGCTTTCTGTAGCCACCTTCAGCACCACCCTATCCAGGAGAACAGGGGACAAGGGACAGGGAGGGTGGTGCTAAGGGTTGGTGAGCACAGGCACAGGGGTGGCCGGGGTCTTCATTGTGCTGGAGAGGGGGCCTTGTTGCCTCAAGACCCTGTATCTTCTCCTCGGAGGACTTGTCGGGGAGCAGCACCTCCATAGTGTAACTGACCTTCTTGCCATGCATCAGGCAGTAGGTGTTGTCAAAGCGCAGGACATCTGCAATGGCGGACAGATGATCAGTGGAGCAGCCACTGAGGAAGTCTGGCCTCTCTGCAGGAAAACTAGCCCTGAGGCCCTCGGTATGGATGGTGTGGTCTGTCCACCATGGTGGGTCGACCTGAGGGTCAGTCACTGCCCAGCCCCAAGCCCATTTCTCACCACTGCTTCCTTAGATGTTGCTTCTGCTACTTAAAGGAATGACAGTAACCACCAGCATGCAGTAAGCCTCTTCTATGTGCTAGGCATGTTACAACACCTTACAGTCCCCTGAATCCTCAAAGCAGCCCCACAAGGAAGGTACAGTCACCCTTATTTCATGGATGAGAAAACTGAAGCTTTGAGAAGTGATACTGCTTTCCTGCAATCACATCACAAGGGAGTGGAGGAGCTGGGACTCACTTATCCCCATACTCCAATACAGAGAGGGGACCTACTTGCCCCCAAGGAGAAGGCTAAGCTCTCCAAGTGGCTTTTTCATCTCAGTGAAGGCATTTCTTTCAATGCCAAGGTTGAATGTGAACCCTGGCACCTAAGGTGAGTTATCTAGATTTCTCTGGTCTCCACCCTCCTAACTCTCCCTTTCCACAAAGGCGGACTTAGCCTGTGTTGGCTAAAGGGTTAGCAAAACCGTTTCTCCTTCTCCATAGGAAGTTGACCTTAGGTTCTCCTTCTCCTGGCTCTGTTCCCAATAGGGGTGGAAGGTCAGCATACTTCTAGGCAATGTTGCTAATGGTAAAAATGAGCAAACTGCAGCTGGCTTGAGAGGCCTGAGAATGAATGATACGCACCTGGAGGAAGCCACCTTTTTGGGTTTCCCAGAGCGTGGTGGTCCACACAAC